CCTCGGTTATAATCAAAGACAGATCGTTTAATTTTCGGACGTGCTTTGAACGTTGTCGCAATGTCGAACGGGATTGCTGAGTGGTCGGTTATTAAACCGCTTTGGCTAGGACTGATTACAGACATATTTTGAACGTTTTCAGCAACACTGCTGATGACGAGATCGAGGATGTGGTCGCCTCTTGTTGGAACTCGATTTACTTGTGTTAGGTAGTGATCGTTCAGAATTTCTGTGAACTGGACTTCGTCTTCGCCGGCTGTTAACTCTGGCGATTCCCAACAGATATTCGGAAAGTTGAAGTCACCGCATATCAGTATGTTGGCGTAATCTGAACACTTATTAGCCAAAAAGAGGTTGAACTCGTCCAGCCATTTCCTGTTCATAGTCTGCGGGGGCTTGTACGTACAACATGCCAGGTATTTCTTGTTGCAGGTAGATGATAATTCTATTGCAACTAGTTCTAGATCGCTGTCAGTAACAATCTCGCGAGATGACAAAAAGGAGCTAGACTTTAGTGCAAGAAGAACTCCACCAGCACGAGTTTTACGATCTTTACGGTAGATAGTATAATCACTCCAGGGAAGTATTTCAGAATTCTCGATGTCATCTCTTAGCCAAGTCTCGGTTACCCACATGATGTCCGCTTGTTCGGTGTACACAAGGTTTTGGAAGTTAGTCAAGTGGCAGGATTGTTTACCATTTAACCTGTGCGAGCTTATTAAACTTCGAGCGTTGATTACAAGACATCTCGCGAAAAAACTTTGGCTGCCGGTTGGTTGATGGTTGTTTCTTCTCGTGGGTCCAGGATTGGTAGCTACATCACCGGCGAGTAGAATACATAAGAAGACATGGGCTTTATTGTTCTTGATGTCGAATTGCAGGCCATAACGGTAAATGGTTTTAAATGGAAATGAAGGCTTTCGCAGAGAATTGTCGCGGGTCGAGCTCCAAATATGACTTAATTTCTCCGGTATTGACAATAGTTCTGCAGAAATCGTTACTTTGCCGGGAATTCTTGCAGTGTTCAGTTCGACAAGTACAGGTTTAGACCTTGTCGCTAACCAAAGAACGAATGTAAGAAGTATAAAAAATTCAGCTGTTAAGCAAAGCAAACGTTTGCAATTTCCCGAGTTCCTTTTTTCCATCATTTCATAGAGTTTGATCAGTTGAATGGGATCCAAGAATACAATTATTTGATTAAAGCTGTTATCTCAGTCGGCAAAACTGGATTGGCTAAAGATAACCACTGAAGAAACCAAAATTGACCTCCTGAATAATTGAATTCAAACTGAATATCACGAATAGCATGCATCAAAGAAACCACACATGCAGCAATGCAAATTTTTTCGAATACATTATCTTCACTTAGGCAGGCAGCTAGTCCAAAAACATAATATTATTGAAATCATAATTAGGTAACTAAATTTGTTTGGTGGTGGTTGTTGTTGTTGTTGTTGTTGTTGTTGTTGCTGTTGCTTGTTATACCGTTCTATAAAAGAGGCAATAAAGTCGGTTTTCCACTAGCGAATTTTCTCGCACGAAGCGACCTTTTTCCTTTGTCGGTATCACTTATTACGTCAGCAAGACGTGGCAAAATCAATCCTCGAAAACGAGGTCAGCATTCGGCAATGCCGGGTTAAATGCAAATTTTTGCCCACCTTAATTCAACCAAAGTAAGAATTTTTATGTTGATAGCTTTTAAAATGTCAGCGAATTCGATTAACTGAACACACTACGGTGTAAGGTTTAAAAACTGACGGGTATTGTGTATATACGTTAGATGTTTGAAGATCAAATTTCGCGCGTCTGGAGTTAAAATTTGGCTCCAACTTTCGAATTTTCCGGCTGGAGGTAACGTTCCAGTTATATTTCGATTTCAATGATTCGTAAATGCGTGATTAATAGTGCCCCAAGACGTGGAACATATTTTAAGAAATGCCGAGATGTGCCGACCTAGGTCAGATTTAGGTCGGCCCTCTTTTGCCGACCTCAATTTTGACGGTTTTGACTTTTCGAGGGCTGCAAAATGGATGCCGACAAAGGAAAAAGGTCGCTTCGCGCAGAAAAAATCGCTAGTGGAAAACCGACTTAATACAAGGTAATAAAGCGCATTTAAACATGTACATTTACTATAGATGGCCCTGAAGGGGTAAAATGGGAACTGGGATTGATCTATTTTTAGACTGGGAAAATGGGATTTGGGTTGCTGCGACTGGGATTTGGCCACTGGGAATGGGAAATGAAGTCCTCAAAAATGGGAATGGGATTGAAGTAATGTGAGTCGATTCCCAATTTTGATCCGTTTTTGGTGTCTTTAGTCATGATTTTCGTTGTTAACTATATTATTCACAGCATTACCTGCAAAAAGGCATACTCTGGCGCCCGGAATTTTGGGTTTTCTGATTATGCGTGTCTCAGAATGATGTAAATGCCATTTCCGGGATTCAAATTTAAAAATTTTCCGTGCCTTCGGCACGAGCCCCCGCCCCTCTCCCCCCCAAATATTTCATAATGTGTCCGCCACTTGCACATACGGTGGCTTAAAAGGTCTTAAAACTGTTTATTCTACCGATAAATAAAGGGTTTTTTATTGACTGGGATTTCAATAACTCGGACTGGGATTTCTAATAAAAATCCAACTGGGACTGGGATTTTGCCAAAATTTCAGGTGGAACCCCCCCCACCCCCCACTTCAGGAACCTCACTATAGGCTAACGACTCGGCAAAATTACCAAACAACAGTGGGCAAAAGATCATTCACCCCTCCCCCCACTCGAAGAGGGTTAGCGCCGCCCCTGGTTTTCGTTCCGATATATCTGCATCGTAATTTAATTTAATGTTTACAGATCGAAGTTTAGCTGGTCTCTTTTGAAATAAAATAGATTTTAAGG